TCTAGTTATGGGTTAAAGGTAACCATTCGCTTGATCCAACAGGCTTATGTGGAGGGGGAATGTTGGGAACTAAATGCCACATTAGCTACCTCATTGTCTCGGGAATGATTTAAATACATGTTGGACTACTCCTCTCATTACAATTGGTTTTGATATAAAACCTTAATACCCTCTAGGTCCTAAATCCGTGACCAAAATGAGAAGATATATAGATGCTCCACAATATCAACGTGGCTTGAAGATACAGTATAATGTGATAAGACCTTTCAAGCCATATAAATTTTTTGACCTGCCATGAAGAAGGAGAGTTTATTATCCCATATTTGTATAGTATCACACATTATGTCATTCTATATCGTTGGTAAAAAAAATACAATTTAGTTAATAAATAACAAAAAAATACAGTTTAGTCAATAAAAAGGAAAAAAAATACAATTTAATTAATAAAAATAAAAATACAACTTATAAATATTAAGTTAAAAATAAAATTACTTAATTTATTTTTATTAGTTGAAGGAAAAGACTATAATGTCGGATAATAGTGTCTTTATGAACAGTTAAGTTTTGGGTGGAGACACCGTAACATGCCCAAAAATGGTTGTCATTGATGGAGTTACAAACTGCTATGGTAGAAGTGTAAACGAGTTGTATTAAACATTTAAGAGGAGATTTACAATGATGTGGTTTGACCAGTGTTTTAAAATGTGGTCCGCAATACCGATTACAACCATAATATTGTGGTTGTGGCCGGCTCCGCAACAGCAACCTACTGCAATTGCGAAGACAGAACATCGCTGCGGCCGCAACCCTATTGTAACAGATCTATCTATGACAAGGGTTTGGTGCATTCTATGACAAAGGTCGCTCTTTCTCTTCTCCCCTATCACTACTCCTGGTGAGTCATCTTCGCATTCTCTCTCCTACCTCTTTGCCACAGTCACACCCTGAAGTGTTCACATGCCTTAGCATATACACTAGAGTTGCTTTTAGGGTTTCCATCTTTTTACCCATCTATTGCTAACTAACTATGTGCTTTTCGGCCAGCCCATTAAAGTATTGTTGAGTAAAAATAAAGTAGCACTTAATAAATTTACAGATATCAAATGAGCAACACCTAACTTAATACCAACCTTTTCGTATATACATATAAGGAGAGCCACTTAAGTATAGGTGGGGTGAAATTCTTAGTCAATAAGATAAAAATAATAAGGAATATTTTATAAGATTTAAGTATAAAAGGTTAAGGAAGCCACCACCATGTACCATTTAGACCCCATTTCTTATAATTTTATGCTTGAAGTTATACCTTTGTATCATTTATGCATATGTGGAGGAATGTTATGAATGTGTCTATTTCCTAAACATTACTTTATAAGTACCTATTTTATATAAAACTATACTTTAATATTCCTTATGGCGAGAAACCATAGAAACTCATCCTTTTGAGTTATGATTCGTTTTATGTGGTTTTTCTCTCGTGAACTCTTGGTTTAGAGTTAATATTTCGAAAATGGAAAGAGTATGTGGGTTGATTCATAAAAACCCCAAAACCCTAAAGTGAAAATGTGGTAAAAGGGGAAAATGAATAAAATGCTAGAGGTAGAAGATGAGTTTACCATCTAATGTTGAAATATGATATGAATATGCATGTTTTAGATGGTTGTATACTTATGATGAAAGTAGTTTAGAAACATCGAAAATGTGATGAATATCTTGTATGATTAAATAATGCAATATAAGTTGTTTATGTGATGTTGGAAACAAATGACTAACATTGTGTTATTAGGTGGGAATGTGGAAAGATCCTAAAGTTGGCGGCGGTGTCGGTGGAACTTGTGAAGTTACCAGGAACCAAACCCAACACTCACCGAGGTAAGGATAAGTCTTTATTTGTGCATTTGGAATGAAAAATGTGTGTATTTTCTGGTTATGCAATGATTGAGTTGTGAATTACGCATTTAGTATAAACATATATGGGTGTGTTTATACTAAAGTAGGCGTAGATTTATGGGAAATGGAAAATGAGTGTATTTTCCGGTTATGCAATGATTGAGTTGTGAATCACGTATTTAGTATAAACATATATGGGTGTGTTTATACTAATGTGGGCGTGGATTTACGGGAAATGATTTAAGGTGAAATCAATGAAAATGAATTATATTTTTAGCCGACCATGAATGGTTAGCGACTCTGGCTTGAGTATATAAGCAAAACTCTGGCTTGAGTATATAAGCAAAACTCTGGCTTGAGTATATAAGCAAAACTCTGGCTTGAGTATATAAGCGAAACTTTGGCTTGAGTATATAAGCAAAACTTCGGCTCGAGTATATGTAGCACGTTTTCTTTTAAGAGAAATGAGAATCTGCTTTTAGCTAAACCCTAAGGGGTGTAGCGACTTTGGCTCAAGTCATGCAGCAAAGCAAAATAAATTTCAAAAATGGTTTACTAACCCTTTTCTAATGTGGATTATCTTATAATGATGTTTATTGAATTAACGACTTACTCCTTTGTGTGTTTGTGTTCTTGTCATTGATAATCCCATTGCAGATAAACAGGTGACATGAGGGGGGATTCACTTTTGAGGAGCTTAGGGAGCTTTATATTTTGGATTCATTTAATTGCACTATTTTGT